ATGGTTTAAGCAAACGAGGCCAGGACCTAGGGGCCGTGAGGGGCGACAAAATTTGAAAAGTAACAATATTCTAAAACCAATTGAGATTTCGATCTACTATAAGGACAAATGATAAAATATAGTTTCGTTTGTATAATTTGAAGCCACTTCACGGTACTATTACCGTTTAATAATTAATATATCAACCTTATAGGGAAGTATTTTAGTAACCTATTGTTTAAAATAAAATAAAATACGGTTAAAAACATAATTAGCATAAACACAAATATCCAGACGGTGTTACAGACATGGATATTTACAAGCCTCAAGTGTGAACGTAACACACAAATTAATCTTTGAACAGGGCATTAGTGTCGGCCGAGCCATGCTATGCAAATAAGACCGTAATGAAGCTGTGAGATATTGCATCTGTGTTTTATACAGGGATGAGTTCATACGCAAAAAAGCACAATTAAATGGTGTAAGTCGTGATTTACAATTATAAACATATTATAATAAGAGTTGACACCTAAAAGGGCACCAAACTCCATAACAGTTAATCACAGGGTTATAGATCTTGAAACTGCTACATATGGATTCTATGTATGTGTAGGTAGAAGATATAGTTGTGGAAATATCGTTTCAAGTTTGGAAGAGTTATATTGTTTAATTAGGAATGATAATAAATTCATTGAAATTGAATGATACATTACTTTCATAGATAACACATTTAGCGGAAGGAACCTCATGACTGGAAATCCACCGTCTGAGGGGAAGAAATGGTTCGTGTAACTGCTCCCTTGGAGATTATAGACGTTTATAGACGATTATAGACGCTATCATTACAGCCCTTCACAAGTCCACTGCTGAACATAGGCCTCCCCCAAGTAATGCCACAAAGCACGGTCCTGAGCCACCTGCATCCATCGACTTCCTGCATGTCTTACCAGGTCGTCACTCCATCTAGTGGGGGGTCGCCCTACACTACGCCTACCGGTACGAGGCTGCCACTCGAGAACCTTTCTTCCCCATCGGTTATCGGTTCTTCGAGCTATATGGCCGGCCCATTGCCACTTCAGCTTACTAATCCGTTGGGCTATGTCGGTAACTCTGGTTTTACTGCGGATATCCTCATTTCTGAGTCTATCACGCAGAGAAACTCCAAGCATAGCCCTCTCCATAGCTCGCTGAGCGACCTTAAGCGTCCTCATACGGCCAGCAGTGAAGGACCACGTCTCAGATCCGTAAGTCATCACTGGCAACACGCACTGGTTGTACAATCTAGTTTTTAGAGATTGAGGTATACCTGACGAAAAGATATGTCGTAATTTCCCGAACGCTGCCCAGCCGAGTTGAATCCGTCGATTGACCTCTCGGTCGAAGTTGGACTTACCTAGTCGGACTATTTGTCCCAGGTAAACGTACTCGTCAACAACTTCGAGCATAGTGCTCCCAACAACTACCGGCATAGGTGTGACATGGACATTAAACATGATCTTTGTTTTGTCCATGTTCATCTTAAGACCTATCCGTTGGGAGGCACTATTGAGGTCATTGAGCATAATGCTTAAGTCCTCCAGCGATTCTGCCATAATGACTATATCGTCGGCAAATCGAAGGTGAGTGATGTACTCGCCATTGATGTTAATACCGTATCCTTTCCAGTCCAGTAGCTTGAAAACGTCTTCCAACGCAGCGGTGAAGAGTTTCGGGGATATAACATCACCCTGTCTTACACCTCTCTGCAGTTGGATAGGTTTCGAACTCTGGTTCTGTACTCGGATAGCCATCGTAGCCCTACTATACAAACACTTCAGCACTTCGATGTACCGACAGTCAACTTGGCACCGCTGAAGGGACTGTAGCACCGCCCAAATTTCGACGGAATCAAAGGCTTTCTCATAGTCCACATATGCCATGCAAAGTGGCAGATTGTACTCTTCGGTCTTCTGTACAATCTGCCGCAGGGTATGTATGTGGTCTATGGTACTGAAGCCTTTTCGGAAACCGGCTTGTTCGGGAGGCTGGAAGTCGTCGAGTCTGCGTGCGAGACGATTCGTAATGACTCTCGAAAATAGCATGTAGACGCGGCTCAGAAGGGAAATCGGTCTGTAGTTCTTCAAGAGAGCGTTGTCGCCTTTCTTAAAGAACAAAACCACCGCGCTTCTGCTCCACGCCTCCGGAGTAGTGCCACCATGGAGGACGGAATTGAAGAGCTTCCGAAGGACTTCAAGTACCGGTTTTCCACCCGCTTTCAGAAGCTCCGCTGTAATTCCATCCTCGCCCGGGGCCTTGCCGTTTTTAAGGTGGTGGAGAGCCATTCTAATCTCGCTCAGACTGACGTCCGGGATATCATCGGAATAGTGTCGGATAAGACTTGCTCTTGGATCGTTACTCACACTTGCGTGTGGCTCCAACGATGATGTGTACAGCTGCCCATAGAACCTCTCAATCTCACTCAAAATCTCAGGCGTCCCGGAAACGATGTTGCCACACTCAGTCTTCAGCTTTGACAGTTGGCTCTTTCTGGCAGACAGATCTCTGGCAAAGACTTTGGAGCCCTGGTTCCGCTCGATCGCTTCTTTAATACGAGCAGTATTAAAGTTGCGTAAGTCTCGCCGCATGCATTTGGAGATCTGTCTGTTCAGTTGCCTGTATGCTGTCAAATCTGTTGACGATTGCAGCCTCATCTCCCGTCTAACAGCCATGAGATTAAGAGTGTGATCGGAGAGTTTTTGTGTTCTTCTGCGGCGGGTCTTGCAGAACTTAGCTCCGACCGCATGGACAGTTTCCACGAGGTTGTCGTTCATATCGTCCACTGCATTGCAATCTTCTAGGCACTGGAAGCGGTTACGTAACTCGAGCTGAAAGGTTTCGGGATTCTGGATTAGAGCACGAGGGGGACGGAGCGTTGACTTCATTAGACGAGACCTCTCCAACTTAACGTTTAGGTTCAGTGTGCCTCTAACCATTCGGTGATCGCTGCCAGTTTTCACCCTTGCGATCACTGAGACATCACTGAACAGTTGGCGTCTGGTCGTCATAATGAAGTCAATCTCATTTTTTGTCGAACCGTCGGGGCTCGACCAGGTCCACTTCCTGTGGGGCCGCTTCTGGAAGAAAGAGTTCATCATAAAGAGTCCCTCTTTCTCCATAAAGTCGGCCAGCTGCTGGCCCCTTCGGTTCCGTTGCCCTACTCCAAATTTCCCTACCTTCAGCTCACCGCTTTCTCTTGTGCCTAGTTTTTGCGTTGAAGTCTCCCATCAACACCGTGTAGTGGGTTTTGGAGGAATGTATGGCTCTGGAAATATCCTCATACATTTCCTCCACCTCCTCATCGGGATGTGCTGAGGTTGGTGCGTAAACCTGAATGACCTTCAGCGAATACCGTTTGGTGATTCTGAGTATCAGGTACGCGACCCTCGTCGACACACTCCCAATCTTTACAACGTTGTTGACGAGAGACTTGTGGACGATAAATCCAACACCTCCTTGGGACAGATGGTCGCCCTCCCGGTGATAGAACAAGTTGCCGGACTCGAGGATTGCCGTGTCCTCCCCCTCTCTTCGGACCTCGGATAATCCAATAATATGCCAGCGCAACTTGTCTACCTCTTCTTCCAGCTCTAGTATCTTCTCGTCAGTCCTCAGGGTGCGTGCGTTATATGTTGCCAGGTCGAGTCGTCGTAGGTGGCAACCGAACCTCCACCGGAGATTCTTAGCACCCCCTGCCCCGCCGTTACCATGGTCGCCACCGTAGCCAGGAATAGCGGGGCCGCCGGGGACTGGGGGCCGTCTGTTTGTGTATTTATTCATTGGGGGGTATTTGCCATAGTTGCCACGCTTGGCGAGCGGGTTGGCAACCGCAGTTTTTTTATTACGTCACAGTTGTTATCAGGAAGATGCTGCTGCCCATCTCCTGCCTGTCTCCCTCTGTCGCCTTTTACGACACCCACGGGAAGATATGGGGTAGTGGATATTCTCAACCGCCACTACACGGCTAAATAGACGCTATGTATTTTTATAATTCTTATTTTATTAAAACTGTGATAATCACACACAGAGACAGTGCGGTAAAACGAAATTTTAACGAAATTTGATATTAATAAAAAATTTGTTATAAAAATTCACTCTGTCTCTGTCCTATCGGAATCAATATGAAACTACAATAGTTATATTAGTTATTATAGCCCGTTTACACACTCGCGCGAGCGGCGAGGCGAGTTGCGAGGCGAGCCACGAGGTGCGAGTGTAAACGTTAGCTCGTGGCTTGCCTCGCAGCTCGCCCCACCAATCGCGGCGCTCGCGTCGGAGGCGGCTTTTTGGCACGAGGCAAAGGGCCTCGCGAGGGACGCGAGCGTGGTGTTTACACTCGCGCTCTCATTTTAGTTGGTTTACGGCATCCTTCCGTGCAGATTGTGTTGTTTTGTTGGGTTTATGTTCAACTTCAATTAAAAATGGACTGGTCGCAAGAAAAATCGCTGAAGCTCTTGGAACTATCAGACTGAGCGAATAATTTGGGATCCATAAGATATTATGCATAAAAATACTCAAAAAGTAAATGAACAGAATTTCCTAGGTTATGTGCAGACCGCGATCAGAGCTCAAAGTTTTTTTTATAGCTAAGGATAACAAACGATCACACAGTCCACATGATGGTAAGTGGATACTGTGGCCCAAAGACATCTACATTTAACCTCGATAAAAAATCAAAATGCAGATGCGTTGCCACCTTTGAGGACTAAGATGGAATGCCTCGATTCCATTAAAACGGGTCTACGGTTCTCTACACTCACCATACGAAACACAGCAGCATTAAGCTACTATTTTACGCTGGTATTCTGTGAGAGCATGGTCCTTCCCCGGTCGAGCCGACCCATTCATGCTACAACCATAATATACCTGCAGCGTGGCTTTACCACGTATAAAAAGTAAAAACGAATTAGCTTATGGCTACCTTTCGTCAACACCTGCGAAGAAAAAGGTCAAGCATCGATTAATACCTATAAGGGCAAGAGGTGATGCCGCTATTATTTCAAAATCTTCCATCGTTGCTGGCTCAACGCAAACTGAACGCATCGCGAGAGTGTAAACAGGCACTTGTTACCTCGCATCAACACGTGAGCTGCGAGACGAGGTACGAGGCGAGATACGGGGCGAGATTCTAAACCCGGCATTACATTTGGAATTAAGGGGAAATATAACCTCAAATGGCTTAGCAAGATCCTCCGTTATGCCGAAAGTATTGCAGCATTAACTTTGAAATAAATATATGGTAAAGTTGAGGATTAATGTTAAGGACTATGTTAGACGAAAACACGATTCCGTAAAATTTTCTCGATAGAAAAAAATCCAAAGTTACCTCCAAACTGAACAATAAACCGCTGTTATTCATAAAATACTTTAAATAAGATGTTGAAACTTTGCATACTAACTGAACTAACTATAAAGCAGTGCTTACGTTATTTACTTTTTTTTAAATACCATTATTATCATTGTAAAAAGAAATTACCTAAACTATCGGCGCGTAACCTTGATTCCTGTCGGTGTCCCCCGTTAGTATCGCTCCGGCTGTTGAAGGGAGAAGTTGTGTCGCTTACGATCAGAATACACATTACGCAACAGGACGACGTAAAATTAAAATGGGAAATAACTATTATAAAAATAAGAAGCGACTGGGTTGGCATTAAGAAACAGGCATAAATATGATAAACCTAATGAAATAAGTATCTAACGACCTATCTACATACAGTATTAGTGATTACAAACGTGTCGGTAGATAGCCTACGACGCGCGGGGAAGTGGGGGCGAAATTAGAATTTGAGCTGACTTACTATATCCCCTTAAGTTAACAAATTATAGTAAATTTTTAATCGGACGAATCGACTTTATCATTATCGTTACCGTTGATGTTGCAGCCTATAAAAGTCTACTGCTGAACATAGGCCTCCCCCATAGATTGCTTCATATGGGGGATATTTTTCAGTTACAACGCTTTGGCAATTGGGTTGGCACCCTTAGTTTTTTATTGTTAGTTGATATTAAGAAGACTACAGACTTAAACTTGTATCACTACGAAAATATTATATTAAACACTTATAAAAAAAATGAACATTCAAGTTCCAAATATAAGCTTCATCGATCAAATCATGACATATCAAATCTCAAATAATCTCCGGAACCACCTTCATCTTTATTAGCACGTAAAAGTGCAATATTAGCTGGCGGATTGACGGTCGCAGCACCAGAAGACTCTCACTTTCGACGCGGGTAAACGAGATGGTAACGCTAGCATCCATCGGAAGCCGTAAGATTTTTGTGGCATTTCTCTTAAACACCTCTTACGACAATACTTACAGGACGAAAAGGGGGACTTACTGTCTTACGCCGGCATCACACGGCACACCTGCAGGCTACCTAGCTCCACACGATCTTATTATAAAACAAGTGATCCGCCCCAGATTCGGCTACATGGCATCTGTATGTATCTGTATTTTTTTAAATATAATATGGGTGACAAACGAGCACACAGTCCACCTGATGGTAAGTGGATGCTGTGGCCCATAGACATCTACATCTATCAAAACGTAAATACGTTGTCACCCATGAGGACTAAGATGGTATGCCTTGTTTACAGTTAAAAAATGACGATCCGCGAATCTCTACACTACCACCACTACCACACGTAACACAGCAATATTAAGCTGCTATTTTACGCTGAGATATCTGTGGTATTCTGTGATATTCTGTTTGGTATTTGGATTTAGAATAATCAAAAAACATTTACTTTATAAATTTTTCGTTTTTTCAAAAAAAAATCTTCAAGGTTTTCTGATAAAATATAGCTTTAGAGCCTTCGTGGCATTTCTGTTTGTAAAGTTTCATCATTATCAATTCAGCCATTCCGACGATAGAGAAACAGACAAAAAAGTGTATATGTATTTTAATAGCATGCAAATAATCTAAATGCATATAATAGAAACCAGTTATTTTAATATTACAAGACATACACTTCAATTTTATTTATATGTTATATGTAGGTATTTTTAACGTGGTAGAGCCATACTGAAGTTATATTAGTAGTATAGTTGTGGCACGAATGGGTCGGCTCGACCGGGGAAGGAACACGCTCTCACAGAATAACAGCGTAAAATAGTAGCTTAATGCTGCTGTGTTTCGTATGGTGAGTGTAGAGAACCGGAGACCCTTTTTACTGGAAACGAGGCATTCCATCTTAGTCCTCACGGGTGACAACGCATCTGCATTTTGATTCGTAATCGAGGATAGATGTAGATGTCTATGGGCCACAGCAACCACTTACCAACAGGTTGACTGTGTGCTTGTTTGTCACCCTATCCTATTAAAAAAAATTTTACAATTTTGCAACATTGCACTATCTAGACTATAGAGTATTTGCATTTGCATTTCAAATTATTCCTTAGTAAATTTAACAAGTTATTCCTAGTAGAGCGTTAGTGCCCATCGACAATAATACCATGTCACCAGTGAGAACACCGGCATGCAACGCTAAATCGAGACTGCTAAGTTTGTGCGGTAATAGAATTACAGCCAGAATTAGTGGTCAACGGTAAAATTTATTACATTATTGAATACTGAGCTACGATGGAGTAGGTACCGTTTACGTCTTTCAAAATTTTCTATTGAACTTACCTTTATACATATGTTTGTATGTACTTTATAAGTGGCAGAGCCATGCTGCAGTTATATTACTGGTATAGTTGTTGCATGAATGGATCGGCTCGACCGGAGGACCACGCTCCAGCTACCAGCGTAAAACAGTAGCTTAACGCTGCGCTGCTGTGTTCCATATGGTAAGTGTAGAGAACCGGAAATCCTTTTTACTGGAAAAGAGGCATTCCATCTTAGTCTTCACGGGTGACAACTCCTCTGCATTTTGACTCTCAACCGAGGATAAATGTAGATGTCTATAGGCCACAACATCCACTTACCATCAGGTGGACTGTGTGCTTGTTTGTCACCGTTATTCTATAAAAAAAGGGTAGGTCACTGCACTTTTGACTCTGCCTACCTAAATACAAAACGTCATCCAAATCGTTAAAGCCTTTTCTAAGAAACCAATTAACTACGGTCATAGAGTTTTCATAAAACTGAATTGACTAACGAACCTTCAGTCCATCTGATGATACGTCGCTACGGCGTGTGCGTGTGTCTATACACACCTGCAGATAACTTCAAACAAAGAAGTCAGATCACCACTGAGGACCACGATGAAATTTCTTTTAGCTCGTAACTATACTGACTCTCCATCTTTTCAGCGCGGGAAACAGAAAGCCACGCACTATTATTTGTCGGCTGATATAGGCAAGAATGTGGTACCCAGGTAGACAGACAAAATTTATATAAATTTATGAAAGTATATAAATGTGTTTAAATACGTTTTAATAAATTTAAGAAATACGCTAGTAATATAGAAGTCAATGCAAATAAAGCGAAAACTTACGCTTTCAAGCAGATTTTTTTTAAATATTCAGTCATTTTGTTTTTTTTTCTGTTAATGTTCGTAACATTCGTTGATTTTCACGCTGATAACGATCTGTTTAGACGTATAATCTCACTTATATCGTAGAATTTAAACTGCTTAAAACTGCCAGTCGTGTCAAGAAATGAATCGTTAACGTTTGTTTTCTGACAAATTGTAACAACACAATTTTTACACAATTCATTTTAAAAATTATTAACAAAAATTATTTTGGTTGGTAAGAGGCATTTATCGTAGGTGGGTGTTGTTTCAGATAAATATGAGTTGTGGTATCTGCTAGCACAGACTGTAGGCAGTTAAAGAGCTATCAAATATATATGTTATTAAATATAAACTTAAAAAATTATGATGATGGTTTCAGCTAAATGTCAATTGGACGTCTCCTAGAGCCGGTTCACCCTGCTAAATTAATAACAGAAGTAGTATTTTTCTTTATGGAATGGGATTTTAAGAATCAAAATGCAAATGCGCTGTCACTCCTGAAAACTACGATGGAATACCTGGTATTTAGTAAAAACGGTCCCCGGTTCTCTTCAATCACACAGCACAAACCCAGCATTATTAAGCTGCTATTTTACGCTCATGTTCTGTGAGAGCGTCGTACTTCCCCGGTCAAGCCGACCCATTCGTGCTACAACGTAAATAAACGAATTTTAAACTGTATTGCTACCTGCGACGAAAAATTTATTCTATTTGACAATTACAAACATGCCCCTAGAAAAGTGATGGTCACTGTTAGGTGGTCTAGCGCCGGCGCGATTCATCACAGCTTCTTACCAAACGGGATGAACATTACTGCAGATGTGTACTGTGAAGAATTGAACACAATGATGGAGAAGTTCGCACGTCTCCAACCAGCTATGATCAATCGCACGTCCTCGCTGCTACACGACAACGCGCGACCTCATACTGCACGACAGACGGTCTCCAAGTTACAAGAACTAGGGTTGGAAACTCTCCGTCATCCGCCGTACTCACCAGAAGTGGCGCTTACAGACTTCTACTTATTCCAGAATTTGAATAACTTTATGGCGGGTAAAAGGTTCAATACCCGAGAGGCAGTACAAAATGCCCTTTAAGAATTGTTGCCTCCAGTCAGCTAATTTCTTCAAGTGCATATATAAATTGCCACTGCATTGGCAAAGATGTACCGATTCCGTGGTTGTTTACTTTGATTAATAGTAATAAAAAATATAATAATAAAATTACGTTAACCTATTTCATAATAAACTAAAATTTCATAGGTAAAGACCTAATATTTTACTCTATATAATGAGAATCTATGTACCTAGTTAGTATTGTATTTGTGGTTTCAGCAATGACTTCAAAAGGAACGATAGGCCCATCTAAATATTCTAGTCATAACTTTTTCTACAAGAAAAAGTAGCGCATCTGTCATAATACAAACGTCATATTAAACACTACGTAACCAGGGTCAAATTTCGTAGTATAATTATACTGGTACAAGTATTTCATAGTTTGTAGTACACATAGTATCGTACTAATACTAAGCGAAAATACAACAATTTTACCTAAAGATCGACTTGTATTTATTTTTCATGTATGTATTTTTATTGGGTCCTTTTACATTTTAATATTAACCCTACGACATCGAGAATTTCTGTATTGTACATGAGTACCGCGTTTCTTTTAATAAAATTAGAAGTAGCTCTCTTTCTGGTCAATCGATGCTCGATCGATGCATTTAAATTGCATCCTTGATACAACTATAATGAGGGTCTACCACGAAAAAACTCTATGCTCCAGAAGCAATCGGTTTGAAAACAGAATTTCAAAATATTTTACGAATCAGATTTTCAGATTCAATTAAACAGATATGATTTTTTTTACTCTTTTCGTTTTACCCTTAGTGAATATAAAATATATTAGGTACCAATATTCAAAATTTAACTTACACTAAGTTCTTTAGACAAAAATTAAACAGAAATGAAAATAAAACCGTCAAAAAACGTATACTAGACGCGTGACGCCAAAATTCCGGCACATGGGAAAAAAGAAACATGAAACGTCAAACGTGATATAATTTTTTTAAAATAGTATAATTTTATTTTTCATGTACAATATTTTTGAGGGTCTGAATCCAACCCTGGCCTAATCTTGGTAAGGTACCTAAACTAATTGTAAAATAAAACTTTAAAAATGCGTTTATATAATAATTTAACTGTAACAAAATTAATATACGGTTATTTACCGATGATACGATACCCCATGTTTTTTTTAACTCTGTATCGTAATTTTTGCATTCTTTTACCACGCAACTAGATATATTTGTGACAGACAAATCTGTCCTGCGCGCGCACCACTGTCGACGGATTCGCGTTGGCCCTAAACTGTAATTTTAGGGCCAGCGCACTGGTCCGTTTTAGTTGTTCGGTCGGCCCGGTCCTTAGGCAAGTAATATATAAGTTAATTGGTTTCAGTTTTTGGTTGAGCCCAAGAGCATAAAGAGTGTTGTTCTATGGATTATAATTATTATTACTATTTGGCAACTAATAATCTATGCTCTTTAGGTAGAGCCAAGTGATTATATACTCTTTGGCTGTCACTATGTCTTATATTGCTATGCTTTGTCTCATGACGATTTTGTTATATTATTGTTGTTGACAATATTTTTAGTTATATTTTTTGAACGAAAAATCTCTAAAACATTTCATGTCCAAATACGATAGAGCCATCACAGTTTTCTCACCAGATGGTCATCTTTTACAGGTCCAGTACGCTCAGGAGGCTGTTCGTAAAGGGTCACCGGTAGTAGGAGTTCGGGGAGCGAATGTCGTAGTTTTAGCTACGGAAAGGAGATCGGTGGAGAAGCTGGAAGATGAAAGAACGGAAAAGAAGATTGTTGCCTTAGACGATCACATTACGCTTGCCTTTGCAGGACTAAGAGCTGATGCAAGGGTACTAATTTCTAGGTTAGCTATTGTTTAACATTACACCAAATGGACAAACAAACCAGCCCGCAAAGTAGATACCATTCTTACATTTCTTTTCTGTCAGTGTATTATATTCTGACAGAGGTTAGTTAGTTCATCGCAAAGCTCCAACACGCACAGATAGAGAGACCTCACATGTGCTCAAAATAATTTCTCAACATGCAAGCTTCCTCACGGTGTTACCGTGATAACGCATCTGTAGTTTGTGTGTGAAGTTTACGTGTCCATGGACAACACTAGCCATTTACCATCAAGTGGACAGTAGGTTTTTGTCTTTAGTTTAAAAAAAAACGACATGTAGTAATCAAAAGTAAGTCAACATCGAACTCGGGATGCCAGTGTGATATTAAATTTACGGTTACTTAATCCTCTTTATAAAATTAAACTTTATTAAATTAATTAAGAACATACATACCAGAATAACAAACGTTATCATAAATTTGCATTGTAACTATTATCGAAATTTAATATAGTCATCATTTCATAACACCTATTTAAAAGTGTATTTTTATCAAAAATTTCACATGATAAGGTAGAAAATAAAATTTCTGAGAAACGCTCATATAAGGCATACCTTATCAGGCCGTTGAAAGTCCACGGCTGGACATCTTTTTCCAAAGTAAAAACAGATTTGCCGTAATCGCTAAGCTTAGCCGTAATTCGCCTAATTAGAGATTGGAGTTGCTTTTTATATCTGTATAAAGTTATTCTTTGTATCAGATTATAATTAATGTAATATTGTTCATAGTAATATATATTCATAAGTGTATTTATACGTATATTTTATAAAGATATAAGATAAAGGGTGACAAACAAACACACAGCCCACCTGGTGGTAAAACCAGGTTTAAAGCATTCTAAAACCTTATTTCGGGCTTGCGATCGCAAATTCGCTTCTGAAGCCCTGGGATTAGGTAAAAATGAACTGCGTATTCCAGCAAGAGCCCTGACTGGACACTGTTGTATGTACCGATTCTGCCCTTAACGGAAGAAAGGCCTCTGCACATCATAAATAATTGTGAAACCTTAATGCGCAAACGTAACACTCATCTGTGAAACTATGAACTTAGCACGGAAGAAGTGAAATTGCTCACAGCTAAGCAACTACTTTCGATTAATTGAAGGCATAGGTCTTCGTAGTGGAATATAGCCATAGCAGCGATCACAATAGATCTTACAGGTCGCAGACTACTTCTACTCGCACAAAAAAATGGGGTAGTAAATATTCATTATTCACCGTCACTACACAGTTTAAATAAGGTCCATTCTTTCATAATTAAACACCTAACAACCACCTGGATTTCGCCATGAATGCAAATTTGTGAGTTTCAATGCGTTAAAAATGCGGAAATATCCTTTTAACCACCTCAACAATCTTTAACGTGTGTTCCAGAGCTCAAATAGAATGTCAGTCGTACCGGCTCATCGTGGAGGATTCAGTAACGGTCGAGTACATAACACGTTACGTGGCGGAATTAAAACAGAAATATACGCAGAATAACGGCAGGCGACCCTACGGTATCTCGTGTTTGATTGGGGGCTTTGATTGTGACGGTGGCCCTCACCTGTTCCAGACAGAGCCCTCTGGGACGTATTATGAGTGGAAGGTAAATAGTATTTTCAGATATTTTACACTTTACAATATTGCTTGTTGACGACAGTGGTTTTGCAGCAGATTTACTGCTCCATTACCATGCAATGGCGGTGACAATCAATTACCCCATATTATCTCGTGAGTGTTGTAAGAGAGGCGAAAGAGGGAAACAATTCGGATCGCCAGCAGAATCTTCCTAACAACGACCCCCAAAAAAAAACTGCGGTTGCCAACTCCCTTGCCAAGCATGGCATCCATGGCAAATATCTCCCCTACGAGGCAATCTACGGGGGAGACCTATGATCAGTAGTGGACTTTATAGGCTGTAAAGGTAATGGTATCAATTGTTCAGGTTTGAAATCCTGAGCGGGTTTCACATTTGTGACGAAACGAATATTAGAAATGAAGATTACAATAAACGCGGTACACAAAAAAAATACTTATACATTGCATGCAGTTACTCCTAGTGGTGTTTATATTTGCAGGCGGGTGCTATTGGACGTGGCGAGAAGGCAGTTCGGGATTTCTTGGAGAAAAATTACAGTGCTGCACTAGTAGCCACTGAAAAAGGCGCTGTTAAATTGGCTATTATGTCATTGCTAGAAGTCGTCTATTACGGACAGAAGAACTTAGATGTAAGTAATCAAATTTACTTACTTTATTCTCTTGCTATAATATTAATATTTCAAATCAACTGTTTATGGTAATTAGTTATCTTTAATAAAGAGAATATATATATATATATAATTCATATTTCATAAATGAATTTCTATAACAAATGACTATGTACTAAAGAAATATCCCACATAACTTTAATCGTTTCAGGTATTCGTTTTAAGAAAATCTCAACCTACGGTCAATTTAGATCAGGAAGAAATCAAAGAATATTTCGTAGAAATTGAAAAAGAAAAAGAAGATAAGGCAGCTCAATGAGTCCTTAATATGAAAGTGTTTTTAAAACTATTTAAAAATATTTCTTAAACGTTATTTATTGCTCATAATGCTATATATTTTGTACATTATTTAAAGTTTGTATGTCCTAGAAATAGTTTCAATTTTAATGTTTCAATCTAATTAAAATTGTAAATCCAATGTCTGTTTCATTTTCTTGACTGTCGATTCTCTTACGAAATTATTTTTTTTTTATTAATATTTCTCTTACTGTGTACGTGACTTTCATCAGAATATACCATTTTGATATAAACAAATTATTGGTATTTAAGCTGTCGATAGGTATACATGTTTATGCGATAACACCATCACGGAACCGATACTCGCGCTTATCTAATCATCACAATAATCTTGTCAAAACTGTGATAATAATACTAAAAATATGTATTCCATTTACTGCAATTCCACTGACGTCAATCAATAAATCTGAATGCATTATCAACCGATAAATGATAGTAGCGATAAATATAAAATGCATGAATTTTACCCTAGATTTCACGAAGTGGATGTTTACCTGAAAAAAAAAGAAAACAATTAATCATACATATAAAATAGCGCCATCTGTCGTGAAGACAGAAAACTACATTCATGCACTGAGCGCGTCAAGTAACCAACTGTTATGTTGATCGGGAAATTGATAATGTTTGAAGTTGTTACAACATAGATAGCGCCACAGTTTAAATAATTAAAATTATGTTTATCGGCATTGATATATTTTTTGTATATCAATGTTTATAGGTATATTATAATTTTATCACAAAGGGTGAAAAAAGGTAAATTAAATAACAATGACAGTACCTAATAAGCACAAAAAGTCTTAATAATATGTGTCCCATTAATTCTTAATAATTATTTTTATTTAATAAACAAAGTTCACATTTTGAGGCTTTTAAACTAACCATTTACCTAATATTGCAAAAAAGAAATAGAAAATAATTTGACATAATAATTTTTCATACCTGTTTCTTTTTCAATTAGATCGATTTCAGTGCAAAGAACTTTTGTCACATGCTCGCAATGTGCGTGAGATTTCGTCCCTATCTGCCAATAAGTGTTATCTTTATTTGGACCTAGTTGGTCAGAGTATTAGATAGACTACATAAATAGAGTCTTATGTGTTCGTATCTCGGTCTGAACAAAACCACTAATGATGAAGTTTGGGTTTGGTTGTGTTGCATTCACTGCATCCTAGCCAACCTCAAGATTGTGTCAGATCCAGCCGGGATCTTATCGGATAAAAATATCAGGACGAACGCAAAAATTTCTTGTACTATAACACCTTCGCAATTGACGATATCCGACAGTGTTTGGGCGTCAGAAACACATTTTGCCGTAAGCAATACAATCAACGTCTGGTGAAATTTCACTGACACCAACCGTCTTACCTATTTCTGCCAGTAAATTTTTCTTTTAAATTTTACATTGATTTTTGTAAACTAGTATACGTAAATGACAACATCCAGGCATATTTTTTTTAAATATATAGGTCGAGTGTTTTGGCAACGCTGCGTTGACATGATGGCAGAGAAGGTGCCGCATTCCTGATTTTGGTTGCTTGTAACCACTTGAATAAGCTGATACTTTTGGAGCACAAACTGTTCTGTCTCACTACACTTACACTTCTTTGATCCTATAGCTCTAAAACCTACTACCGATGGAGAAAAATGTTTCTTGAGTGGTAGATTCATACCGGCAGGCAGCGTAGAACGGCCCCAAACTAGATGGAGCGTCGACTTGGTAAAAGATGTAGGAAATCAATGGAGCAGGTGGCTCTGGACCGCGCTTTGTAGCATTCCATAACAGTGCTGCACTGCTATGTCCGGTCTATAGAGTCAGTATAACAAGAGGCTGTAAGGCGTTCTACCTTAGTCCTCAGTATTCTAAATTTAAACTATGGTATAATATACGTAACATTCATAAACACTCCTTTTCTGGCCAGAAGTCCAGCTGGGTGCCTTTACTGCTGTATTCCAATCTGGAGGGGGTCAGTATAGTTACAATCTGTGAGGGATTTCATTTTAGCCCTCGGAGGGAACAACATATTTGGTAGTCTTCTTTGTTTAATGTTGCAGTAACTACTTACCATCAAGTGGACTGTAAGCTCGTATGCCACTGAAGATTTATATAAAAGCCGATGGTCTAAACATCTATGTGCCATAAGCATTTTAAAATATGCATATACCTACAAATATCTACATTAATATTATTATGTTTATCTCTATACCTGTAGCACAGAGCAATAAGAAAGTCGCGTTTCTCAAAACCTTTTAACGACTTCAAAATGGAAGAGGTATTCAATTCGACTGTATGTTTTTTTTTATACATGTTACCTCAGAACTTATTCGGGGTGAACTAATTTTGGTGATTCTTTTATTTGAAAGCTGGTGCTTCTCGTGTGATCCCATATAAATATGATCAATATCTGACCAGTAGTTTTTGAATTATCCTTAAATAATTCGTATTTAATTGTGTTGGAATACTTTGATTCGGTCGTATTAAAGTCAGTTGTACAAATTTTTAAATTTAACCACTTGTTCATCGATGTAATAGAGTGCAACCGTGATCAGTTTATCTTTATGACTGTGCTTGGAACATAGCGTACAGAAATTCGTTTATTTCCGAAACTAATGAAACTAATAAAAAAAACTGCAATTATTATTGAATCTTTATATGGGTATACTGTGTGTAATATAATAAGCATTTTCAAGAATAAACAAAAAGTACGCACTAAGTTCGCTTTTTTAATATATTTTCCTGTAATGGGTCTGGAAACTGGGTCTTGAACTGGAAGATATTTAACTAATTAATAAATATTTAATTTATAAATATTAAAGTAATTCACTGTATGATTGTTACTGTCTTGTAGTGTACACAAATAAATTTAAAAAAAGTATAGCAATATAACATCGTGTATCATCTCAAATAATACACGTAGATTCGCAGTGTTGAATTATAGAATTTAGGGCTTTTATTTAAATATTTTTGTTAAATTTCTGTTACATACGTTTAGAAAAGATGTTTTTCGACTATTCTAAACTAGATAATAAGTGATGATGCAGCCAAAGATAGCGAAGCACTCTAACAAAGCTTGACAAAAATTTATTCACTCCAGGTCTAGCCTAAGTGACAGCCACATTGTCGTCGGATGGAAAGACAGATGCTGGCAAAACATTCCACTCCTTTGCTGTACGTTTTATGAACGATGTAGCAAACCGTTTAGATTTAATACGTGGTATGTCGACAACAAAGATGTGGAGACCAGCCAAGCGTCTGGTTATCCGATGATAGTACGGAGAAAGTTTTGCCCCCACTTTTCGAAATGTATCCTATAAAAGGCTTTTTACTTTACACCTGTGTTTGCGCATCTAACCAATCTTGGTTAGATGCACAAACACAGGATTGATATCCATTCATTACTGCCTAGGAAAGTTCAATGCTGGATACAAGCCTCCCCCATAGATCTGTTTATAGGGAGGATTTTGGCACTACTATTTCGAGTTATGATCAGGAAGATGCTGCTACCCATCTCCTCTTTCAGTTGTTCTCTGTCGCCTCTTTCGACGCCCACGGAGCGACATGGGGGAGTGAATATTCTTCCACCGCCACTACTCTCTGTTATTACACAAAAATTAAATTAACATAAGTCTTCATTGAAATAGAAACTTAGACTTTATATTTATTGTCAACTAGCTTGCCAGGCAGACGTTGTTCTGCCCTTTTCGACGACCCTTTGTCATGTCCTATGTCCATCCTTAAATTAGCAAAAAAAAAATTGTGAGTCACTCGTGGGCAAAAAAATTATGCTATCAAACAAATTGTGTGCAAATTTGATTAAAATCGTTAAAACCATTTAAAATTCAAGGCAAACAACGTGACACGTAATTTATATATTATGTTAAGATTTTGGTATACTCTATTGCACACATTTTCGGAAAAGTCCGCTACTAATAATCCCGTGTGGCATTTGTTAAAGGCGCAAATTATTTATTAAACAAAAAAAGTCTTAACATGGTTTTCTTTTCAACACAAACAATTATAATTCTGTTAAGACAACTTTAGCAAGCTGCAGGTTTATTATAATAAACACTCACGCCTGTCACCTAGAAGGGTAGGCAGAGACTACAGACTTCCATTTGGCACGATCCTGACATACCTCTTTCGCTTGCCTCCTTTACATCCATCTACGCATACATGCTCGTCGGTTAAGGGTACTTCTAATGTGGCCCATTTTCAAAATATCGCCAATTTGGTCGATAAACCTTCTTCTAGGGCGTCCCTTCCCGACTCTGCCGTTCACATCTGCCATATAAATTTTCTTTGTCACTCTTTCCTCATTCATTCTTTCTACATGACAAAACCACCGAAGCATTCATTTCTTAATCCTGGTCACAACATCATCTTGCATACCACATTTATCTCTTATCACGCAATTTCTCACCCTGTCATTTAGATTCAACCCTAGCATACTCTTTAAAAAGACCGCATTTCTACAGTATTTATTCTACTTTCGTGCTTCTTCTGCCACACTCAACTTTCACTACCATACATTAAAGTAGGGACTAACACAGCATTATGAATTATACGTGCCTTTTTTTGACACATGCCGATTCTTCATAATAGAGTGTAGTGCCCTTCACCCTATTCCCTGCATTTACTCGTCGTTCTATATCCCTATCATATCTCCCATCCCTGCTAAATATACATCCCAAATACACGAACTCATACACTTGCTCAATTAACTTGAGTTTGTTAATTGTATACATATTAACTAACCCTTTATCACCATAGCAAATTTAATTAGCCATTTAAGCTCAAAATATTCCACAGGTGTCTACTCCAATCAGCAAATTAAAATTATTCTCTTATACTTATAAATTCTAGGGTTCACAAAAAATGTTTCCGCCAACGACGTCTGTTATAACATTGTAAAGGGCAAGTTAGTAAGTGAAACCATGATAGCCCCGCCACAATCGCACTCCGCA